GGACGCTCTCGCACAAGCCCTCACAGTCAGATACCAGGGAGCGCAGCAGTCCGAGGGACTCGGACTTGCCCCGGTCACCAGCCCCAGCATGTCCTGCACCAGCCCAGAGCAGGCACGAGGAGTCCCACCAGCTCCCGTGACAAGGGGGACCCCTCGACACGGGGCAGAGCCAGCCCGCAAGTGCTATCGAAGCTGGTGACTCTGCTGAGCAGCTCTTCTTGCAAACCACAGGCTTGATAAGCGCATCCGTGCAAGGTCCCTCACCTTCAGGGAATATTCCACCTGGATGATGCGGCAGTGGAGGATGGAGGGGCCCACGGGGGGGATCTTCAGCGCCCGCCCGTGCCACACTTCCCTCTTCCCAGCTGCGATGGAGTCGCCGACGATGCTGGTCACCACCGACTTCTTCTGCTTCTTGGTGCCCCGGGCGATGAAGGTCTGAGTCTGGATGATGGCAGCCTTGGGCACCACGGCTCGGTTTGTGCAGTTGTCAATCTCGGCAAAGATAGGGATGACCTCACCTACCAAAACAGACGCACGCGTTGGAGGAGGGGAGCCGGAGCACGGTCCTGCCCCAAGGATTCCCGTGTAGAGTTACCCAGGGCCCATCGCGCTCTCCGGCATTGCCGAAGCAAGGTTTAATCCAGCAGGAGCTGTGCCCCCAGGAGGCCGCCCACATCCGGTGGGTGGTCTAGGGCTCTCCGAAGCTACAGAGAGCGTCCGATTCCATGCGCAAAGTGGAGAGCCCAGCTCCCGGTGACCCCAAGCCCCCTCCTTGCGGGGGTTTGCCCATCACCCTTAGAGCTTCAAGAGCACCAGCGTGTTGTCTTACCTGGGGTGTAGCCTTTTCGGTCAATCTTGGCAGTCACAGAAACCTGCCCACGATTGCAATACCAGGCACGGGCAAGTTTCTCCTTAGCACCTGCCTGGGGAGCCTAGAGAAAGGGACATGTTTAAGCTATTTAACAAGAGACTGCAAAGCACAAAGTCAGCACCTCCCTGGCAATAACAACCAGCCGGGGAAAATCAGCAACTTCTCAGGCATCTTATGCAAGAAGCATTTCCAATGGATTAAAGTTTAAGAGCCAAGAGACCTTTGCTTTCTTCAGCGTCCAGCCCAGGTGATGCCAGCGGGCACAAGTTACGGAGGGCAGGTATTCCCTCTGCAGTCGGCAGCACTGATTTCTCCTGCCCACCCCAACACGTCAGACAAGTTTGGTTTGGGCTCAGTGGCGAGGGGAGAGCAGCGGGGCCCGGGGGACACGGCCGCCCTGCGGCGGAGCTCACCAGCAGGGCAGGCGTGTTGATGTCGATGGGCTCGATGACGGTGAACTCCTTCTTTGCCTTCTTCACGGTTGACCAGGGTCGGTGCAGCTTGGCTTTCACCCAGTAGCGCACGCTGCCGTGCTTTCCCTCGAAGGAGGTCACCAGGGTCCTGCACGCAGAGGAGAGGGATTTAGAAGGGCTTTGCTGAGTCACATTTTCGTTTTCCAGGTCCTCTGTCCCCGCAGGACCTGTGTCATGACGCAAGCAGTTCCCCTCCTCCTTTACGTTAAGGAACCCAAAAAGGCAAACTTACTCGGGGAGCTGGAAAGTGAAGGGGAACTCGTGTCTTCCTGCCGGCAGGACGGTGACTTCACCGTTGTCTGTGGGCAAAACAGATTTGAGACGATTGTTTCTCCTGCAGGACTTCCTCCTCGGGCAAACGGCTGGGGGAGACCATGACGCAAGCAGTTCCCCTCCTCCTTTACGTTAAGGAACCCAAAAAGGCAAACTTACTCGGGGAGCTGGAAAGTGAAGGGGAACTCGTGTCTTCCTGCCGGCAGGACGGTGACTTCACCGTTGTCTGTGGGCAAAACAGATTTGAGACGATTGTTTCTCCTGCAGGACTTCCTCCTCGGGCAAACGGCTGGGGGAGACGGACGGCGCAGGCAGCGAGCGAGCAGCGGGACGGCACCGTAACGCTTCTGCCAGGGTTAAAGCGCAGCGACGCCGACCCCG